GAGAGAGAGAGAGAGAGAGAGAGAGAGAGAGAGAGAGAGTGGCGGAGGAAGAAGAGGGAGGGAAGGCAAGACCTTCCTCCCTGGTACCTGGTTGGTAGCTATGGCGCTGCAGCAGGCTGGCGCTGGGCCGCGGACTGGGCCGGTGGCTGGTGCTGTTCCAATGGCTGCGCTAATCCTTCCTCGCCGTGGTGCTCAATCTCTCCTTGCTGCTCATACTAACGCTGCTGCGCTGCGCTAATCCCGCTAACGCTGAAACGCCGTGCTAATCCTGAAGACTAACGCGAAGCCTAACCTCCTGTACACTCTAACCTACCGACTGAGCCTGGTACCCAGCTGATATAGTCCTGGGTCGGCCTCAGTCCTACTGCGGTCCTTCGGGTCTGGACCGTTGATCAGGCCCAACGGTTCAGATCCGATTTCAGAGTCTGAAAATGGGCGCCAAAACTGCGCCGCGGGCTGGGCCTACCGATGAACCGGTACCTGGCCTCAACGAACTAGCCGTTGGGTCTGGTGGGGTCTAAACGAGGCCTACCGATCCTAAACTGAACCGACGGGTTCTAGGCCAACCTGGACCTAAACTGGGCCCGTCGTGACCCGGTAACTAGGCCTGAACCATCCCTGCTACACAACCGGGCCCTAACTGGGGCCCGTGTGGTATCAGTATGCCACAGTGTGTGTGTGTGTGTGTGTGTGTGCATGAGAGAGAGAGAGAGAGAGTGGTGTGTGTGTGTGTGTGTAATTTGTTGCTGTGGGGCTTCTGTGACCGTGTCACAGCATGTTGCGTCATAACTCATGCAAGAAGAACAACACCACGGGAAGGGTCATATTGCCCACATGGGGGTAGCAACACAGTATGATAGACAAAGGGTACAAGGAGAGCAAGGATCGAAACATATTCCATTGCCACAATTCACAAGGTTTACAGCTAGGGCATACTCCAGACATCTTTGGTCATACCACCGTGCATTCCATGACATACAGGCTTTTATCACAAGCCACCATACGGCTTTGAACACTTCCAAAATGGTATGCCTACCCTGATGGGCGATTAGTCAATCATAAGGAAGGCTTGTACTGCGGCAGAAACCACAAACACACTGTCACACACTCACTACGAAAATTCAAAAGATCCCTTGCTGCACAGATCGTCACGCCGTGTCCCAGAACCGAAACAAGAGTGCAACACACAAGAGAAGAATACCCTGGAATACGGTACTCTACCGATACCAAGGTCAATGTGTCAGCTAGGGCTCCCATCCCCACACCTCTCATCAGAGCTCACTCCTCACCATACTCCTCAGACCTTGGGCCCGTCACCCATCCATAACCAGCGTACCCTACCCAGCCATTGGCACCTTGATCGCTCCAACCATATATCTTCGGTCTCCCATGCACCCACGACCGAAAGTTAGTCCTTCACGGTGCGCTACATCTTTACCAATCTCCTCGTGGGGCTGCTCAGCTCAAAACACATATCAAAGATAGTGGTAGGAAGTCACCATCCCTGCCTCCAACTACAGATCCTACGAAGAGCACCAGCATAGCAATCCCTTCCCGACGCTTCACTTAAGCCCACTTACCATCACTCCCCGTTTTTATGCGCGTGCGTATACATGTTCTCCATCAGAGGTCCTTCAGATCTCAGTTACCCATCATATTATCATGTCAACAGGGCTCAGACCCGTACATTCCCATGAAACCGCCCCAGCGACCCTACCCATTGACAAAGAGAGATCACCGCCCCGTGCACTCCCGTTTAATTCAGGACGATACAATCCTACTCCCCTTCCTGGCGAGTACCACACACTACCTGGAACACAACCCTCTGTTTCACATGGGACCCATGGCGCTAAGTACCCAGAGATCACCCTAGAAGAGATGACCATTCCTCCATGCCTCCCGTTACATATGCAAAGGGCAAGCGCGGGAGCACCACCCCCACACAGCAATCGCCATTCCCTACCGCCAGCCATGCGGGTAAGTGGGATATCGCCTGCCGAAGCCCAGCATCCCAAAACCGAAGAGGGCGAGTCCATGGAGGCCCGTCCACACGGAGGCCGCAAGCAAACTGAGGGCGCATGGAAGGGGGAGGGGGGAGCGAATCACAGGACATGTGAGAGGTGGGGAAGAGCATGACGACCACACAAGGAGGAGCAACAGTATGGCCGACAGGGAGGAAAGCATAATGGAGAGGGGGAGGCAGACGAAGGCCAAGAGGAGCCATGACGGGTGGGGCCGTGCACCCGCAGCGATATCCATGCCACAAAAACTTGCACACTCCCACCCCTAATCGCCAAACTATCTTGCCCTGCACCAGCCCGCCGTCAGAGGTACAGTCCCATTCCGGGAGCACGAGCCGCAAGTAGTCAGCCGTACCGCCTGGACGTCCAGAAAAGACAAATATGCCAGATAGGCCATAAAAGCTATCAAGAAGACGAGTGCCACGTGCACTACTCCTATCAGCTCCATGTAGAGCAGTAGCCGAGCGCTCCAAATCTGGACTCAGAAAACCAACGATGACGCGTATAGAAGTGCCTATGTCATCAATCAAACATCACATACACTGTTACATGCACAGATATGTGATGTTTGTAATAACCGAGGAACTGCAATGTGACGAAAAGGACTGAAATGGACAATGCGGTGAGAGTAGAATCTCGACAGACAATGTGCATTCTCATACATACAAAAGTGCTGAATAGCGCAGGGAAGACTTAGATACAAAGACTGACCTGACAAGGACTGACCTTACACACGTAGTAGCAAGTAGCGAAACAGACTGCTAGAATGTTGATAACTAGTCCAACCGATGGTTGAACTCAGACCAAACATGCATCGTACCCCTCACCAGGTGTGAAGGAGCCTGGCGCTGCACACAGGAAGAAAGCGCCAGGTCCAGACATGCATAGACGAAGAGGTAAGGATCAGACGAAAGGAGGGAGGAAGATGGGAGYGTCRTTAACASCAAGTCTTTGTCACCGATCCCAAATAACCCCTCGTTGCCATGTCTGAATCCCAAAAAAGTCGAGTCTTGGATCCGATATCACCAAGCTCGGTATCTCTTCTCTCGCAGTCTGCAAATGCAGTGAAGTCAAGGGTTGAGAGGGAGAGAAGGAGATGGTGGACTGAGAA